AGTGCTTCAAGGGTTGATAATGTATATTAACGGGAGCTAGTCCAAGACCAGTATGGAGCTCATGGATCGTTGAACCATGCTATTAATATGTGAGGAATTGTAGAAGACAGGAACATCAATAAAACGTTCAGGTTTGTACATATTTCTTCTTGGTGATGAAGGATTCCAGCAATTTACCCTCAGTGTTTGTAGTAGTATCACCACAGGGAGTAGGTTATGGCCATTTAAAATCCACCATAACAATACAGGGTTTCTTCGGTTGGTAATAGAGTGAGTGAGTTTAGTTTTACGCCACACTCGGAATATATAGAGATCAAAATATAACAGCAACGTTCAAGGGAAGTCCCACCACAACGGATTTAAATGTTTCCAACACACAGAATGCTGAGGGTGTAAAATCCTGACCAAAACTGTAAGTCATTGAAATTAGTAATTAGTTTTATACAATGGCACAGTTCAATATTTTTGGAATAACCTATCTTTTGGGAAGATTAATTTTTGGATCTACCCAACACAATTTTGGTAAGCGACATGAATGGATGTATTTCGGACACATCCATGTCCTCAAGGTATCCGCAAGTATTTGGAAAGCTCACATTATCACTCACTTGATTGTGTGGTCAAGATTCGTTTATATACAGGTTCTCATCTCATGCGGCATTCATGCATGATGGAATGTAGATCACCTGTTGACTTGAATCCGTATGTATAAATATTAAGCACACGAATGAAAACAACAAAGATGTTGACAAAATTTATACTCAAGGGGTACCTTTCTGTCTTTATTCACAACTGCAACACATACAATGTTAGCTGGAGTCGTTCAACCATTCAATTGATATAAGTTTTATTCAATGCCAAACTAAAACTTTCATATATTGACTTCTTTATAGTTAAAAGTACTGATTATTACTGACAGCCTTTAAGATAGACGTCTAGGTTCTGAACCAGCACCACCTTTCCTGTGTAAATCAGCTTCCGGCGGTTGAAGTGCCAGACAACCAGTTCAGCTTCCTCTGGTTCCATTGGTACAAAACACATCATCTACAGACATAAAAACAACCATGTTGAGTTTTTCGTTCATTTTATAAACACGATCAGATGGTTTAAATATGTTTGCGTCAGTGTGGACAAAAATCATTATGTCATTATTAATGCGTTCATTAAAATGACACTAATTAAATACTGGACACATAAGATGTTTTCAATATATCGAAGATAGTTAACTGCAGAATAAACCCATGAGTGTTGCTTTAGATTATCTTCTGTTTAAAACAGACATTTATCGAGTCCACAATATACCTGAATAGGAAGCCCTCCGAGAACTCTGTAAATGAGACTGTGGTGATTGTCTAGTCTGTACTTGAAGCTTTCCTCCAGATTGTCTCGTATTTCCTCTTTGTATTCTTCACTGGTTAGATCTGATATGCACAAGTACATACGATGACACAAGTAATATTGGTTGTATAATTACTTTAGAGTGAAGTGTTGTTTTCGCATACATCATGACATCATTATTCCTTTAGAACTTATATGGCGAAGAAACTCAAAATAGTTTTACCTTCCATTCTGTAAATTACATCCCATAAGTAAATGTGGTCTCCAGTTAGGTTCGCTGGAGGCAGGGCACTTACAATAAGGGTTTTGTTCACCCCAGATCAGCTGCAAGTTTTCACCAGGAAAAGAGATTTCACAGTGAAGTCAGATTAGAGAGTCCCTAGTCATGTAACTATAATATGGTAAGTCTTGGGTCAGCCTTCAATAGCAAAAGAGAAACTATGGGATCATGAACTTTCTTTTGTATCTCTCCAACAGGAACCAATTACTTCATTTACTACGCATTTGTGTAATTTCACAAAGAATAATTTGCACGTGTCCACAAATCGTTGTGTTGATACAACCATGAACGTCAATATAAACAGCTTTCAAAGGTATTGATAAAATATTGTACTTTGTACAATGCTTCCGTATACTGACCTTCAGTACTGACAGAAAAAGCACCTATTGAATCATATGCGGTTGTCCGATATCCCAAGTTTCCTGTATATATACGGCGATTCAAAATATGTACTTTCCTGGCCATGGGACTGTCAACCTACATGTAAGTGGTCGACCTTAGTGTAGCAAGCGAAGGTCATTTTATTACACCAATTACCTGCAGACATATTAAAAATGTAATCTATTTTTAAATTTCTTTTCCTGTTATGAACAATATTTGTAGCGTTAAACAAATTAAAAAAAAAAACAAAATGAAAACAAAGCATGAACACTAAGTGTGTCAACTGAAAGAAACTAAATGCTGATTGCAAACTAGGTGCATTGTCCTAGCTCATGCGAGGGTTTTCTGCCCTTTGGGTTTTCTGAACCTACTATGTCACTCATATATTCATTCAATATTTACCATTGTTTGCCTGTGTGACAATCAATGAATTCGAAATGTGTTTCAGGATCTATAAAACACTCTATGTGGTAACAGTCATTATCACCCTCTTATATCCAAAAGGAACTCTGCTGCAACTATGGATTGGACCCGCGACAAATCAACAGAAGCAATTATAAAGGTAGACTGTCTAGTGCATACTTACTTGCTAATACTCTTGGTTCACCAAATACCTGCAAAAAGACACAAATGCACATCAATTTACACAGTGTACCTCTTAATCATTGTTTGTTTTCCGTTATACTTCATTTGATAATGTGTCAGCCAATTAATTATTTGAATACTCATGAATCCAGACAGTACATTTTGAGCAACTGTATGAAAGTGGATCTAACCTTGAAGATGAAATCAACACCGGCTGTTTCTTGCAAGATGCTGTTAACAGTGGCCATGGTGGTCTTAACATCAGCCACACCTGTTGGTTCAACGATGTCGACAAAGGAAACGAGAGTAGTCTTTGCATCTTGCAAGGCCCAACACAAGCATAACTGCTAAAATGGCAAGCGTAGGACGTTCCATCGCTGTACGTTAATGTGGAGCCAACGCCTTACTCATTCATCACAGTTGAACTTCCCATATATAGAGGTATAGCAATAGGGAGGTCCATTTACGAAAAGGGGTGTTAAGTTGCGTATTGCACGAACACAAATCCTATATCTATGGAATCACATGATCAGATGCCCATGAAACTAGGAAATACGATAATTATTTTTTGGAAATAGTTGGGTAATATGGGAAGCATAGGGTGTTTCACTGCTGTATGTTATGCTTCAACACTTCATGACATGATATCTATAGATTTGCACAAGACGTTTCGGTGTAGCTACTAACATCTTGATAACGTTGTCAGTATCTCGACCAAAACGTTAACAGTAACGATTTGCGCTACACATTTGTCCCAGCTCAGTCTATGCCTGATCACAAATTAGCATCCCACACTGACTAAAACCCTAATATGAGCAATTTCTTACATTATTTCACATTCAAGATCACCCCACCCACCCCAATCGCTCAACTGCCATCACACCAGCCTGCCACCCCTCTCCCCTACTGACACTACCCCCACCTCCCCTACAGACACCTCCACATACATACATGCACAGAGAGACAGAGAGAGAGAGACAGAGAGAGAGACTTGAATAAGATACATCCGGACCTCTTTTATGTAAAAATTACATGTAGTGTTCATCTGCTGCTTGTCACTACATACTTCTCATAACCTTGTTGTAGTCACATTCAGCTTGACAACGGTGTAAGGATCTACCGTGGGACATATTACTCTGTGAGATTAACAAGACATTGTCATATGCTTGTGACATCTGAAGGTGAGTTTTGCCATATCAATTAACCTTTCATGATATCGTTAGATCAAATTTGTCTTATATATTTCAAGCCTTTGTGTAAATGAATGAATGAATGAATGAATATTGCTTTATGCTGCATCAGCAAATTTCAAGCTATTCGCGCCGAGAACCAGCTTGTCTCAATTACTAATTGAAAGCCAATCGATATCAAAGACTGTAAAAAATATTAGTCATATGTCACAAGTAATTGAACAGTGAGTGAGTGAGTTAGGATTTTTTTCAGTCACGTAGGCAATACTTCAGCCATATCGTGACTAAGTCAAGTTATATATATATCATAATTAAAAGTAAATTATAAACACCTGTCACCGAAGGGCATTAAAACAACTAGGTTATAGCAGAGAGAAATTTAAAACCCCGGGACCGTTCTTCCCGCATGGACCCCAGCTGGATTTACACCATCCCTTCAGATGTTAGCAATTTTTTACTTTCTAGCCATAACTTAAAATGGCATATATACTGCAGTTAAAATAGTAGTAAGTTTGAATTTACTTTGAAAGTTTTGGGACTTACGTACCTTCTCAGGAGGTCAATAATTTTACAATACGTTAACCCCCTTCGAGGATACAGCCACCAACAATCTCAGTTCTTAATTCAAACTACTAATCATAAATCATTTTTCCATTTACACAACTTTAATAAAAAATCTAATAACTCCATTTCTTTTTAAAATGCAATGATTAAATGATAATTCACACTAGAAAGATCCTTCATTGTTCTGCCAATGAAATACTTATCCCTTGTGATGGAAAAATACAAGTAATGTTAAAAACTAACAATTAGTCTAAAGTTATATCTTGTGATAAAGATCAATATATTTGAAAAATGATCAAATCTTGTGGTTATGAACCAGTGTGAAAAGCTGTTAAAGTTGAAACATTAAAATATGATTGTCTTATCAATGTTGTATCCACACGTTTCATGGTGAACAGACAAGACATTGTCATATGCTTCGTGACATCTGAAGGTGAGTTTTGCCATATCAATTAACCTTTTCATGATATCGTTAGATCAAATTTGTCTTATATATTTCAAGCCTTTGTGTAAATGAATGAATGAATGAATGAATATTGCTTTATGCTGCATCAGCAACTTTCAAGCTATTCGCGCCGAGAACCAGCTTGTCTCAATTACTAATTGAAAGCCAATCGATATCAAAGACTGTTATCACTCATGATCGGCTGTATATCATGTAGTTTGTTTGTGGTTTTGTGTATCCCATTTCGATTGCCAGCTGTATTTAAAATATTGCCTCATAACAGGCTCACAATCAGTATACGGGGTCTCAGTGCATCTGGCGGGTTGTTCGAGAGCAGGTTGTACTGCTTCATCAACGATGCCACGATGCCCTTACGATAGTCAGTACGGGAACTAGGTGTTAACCACGAGACGTGCACCTGCCGTTACAATAGTCAAGTATACTAACTAGGTGTTTGCCACGAGACGTGCACCTGCCGTTACAATAGTCAGTACTAACTAGGTGTTTGCCACGAGAAGTCCACCTGCCGTTACAATAGTCAGTACTAACTGGGTGTTTGCCACGGGACGTGCACCTGCCGTTAATAGTCAGTACTAACTAGGTATTTGCCACGAGACGTGTACCTGCCGTTACAATAGTCAGTACTAACTAGGTGTTAGCCACGAGACGTGCACCTGCCGTTACAATAGTCAGTACTAACTGGGTGTTTGCCACGAGACGTGCACTGCCGTTACAATAGTCAAGTACTAACTAGGTGTTGCCACGAGACGTGCACCTGCCGTTACAATAGTCAGTACTAACTAGGTGTTTGCCACGAGACGTGCACCTGCCGTTACAATAGTCAGTACTAACTAGGTGTTTGCCACGGGACGTGCACCTGCCGTTACAATAGTCAGTACTAACTAGGTGTTTTGCCACGGGACGTGCACCTGCCGTTACAATGGTCAGTACTAACTGGGTGTTTGCCACGAGACGTGCACCTGCCGTTACAATAGTCAGTACTAACTAGGTGTTTGCCACGGACGTGCACCTGCCGTTACAATAGTCAGTACTAACTAGGTGTTTGCCACGAGACGTGCACCTGCCGTTACAATAGTCAGTACTAACTAGGTGTTTGCCACGAGACGTGCACCTGCCGTTACAATAGTCAATTACTAACTAGGTGTTTGCCACGAGACGTGCACCTGCCGTTACAATAGTCGAGTACTAACTGGGTGTTTGCCACGGACGTGCACCTGCCGTTACAATAGTCAGTACTAACTGGGTGTTTGCCACGAGACGTGCACCTGCCGTTACAATAGTCAAGTACTAACTGGGTGTTTGCCACGAGACGTGCACCTGCCGTTACAATAGTCAGGTACTAACTAGGTGTTTGCCACGAGACGTGCACCTGCCGTTACAATAGTCAGGTACTAACTAGGTGTTTGCCACGAGACGTGCACCTGCCGTTACAATAGTCAGTACTAACTGGGTGTTTGCCACGGGACGTGCACCTACCGTTAATAGTCAGTACTAACTGGGTGTTTGCCACGAGACGTGCACCTGCCGTTACAATAGTCGGTACTAACTGGGTGTTTTGCCACGAGACGTGCACCTGCCGTTACAATAGTCAGTACTAACTAGGTGTTTGCCACGAGACGTGCACCTGCCGTTACAATAGTCAGTACTAACTGGGTGTTTGCCACGGGACGTGCACCTGCCGTTACAATAGTCAGTACTAACTGGGTGTTTGCCACGAGACGTGCACCTGCCGTTACAATAGTCGGTACTAACTAGGTGTTTTGCCACGGACGTGCACCTGCCGTTACAATAGTCGCCACGGACGTACTAACTGGGTGTTTGCCACGAGACGTGCACCTGCCGTTACAATAGTCAGTACTAACTGGGTGTTTGCCACGGGACGTGCACCTGCCGTTACAATAGTCAATTACTAACTAGGTGTTTGCCACGGACGTGCACCTGCCGTTACAATAGTCGAGTACTAACTGGGTGTTTGCCACGAGACGTGCACCTGCCGTTAATAGTCAGTACTAACTGGGTGTTTGCCACGAGACGTGCACCTGCCGTTACAATAGTCAGTACTAACTAGGTGTTTGCCACGAGACGTGCACCTGCCGTTACAATAGTCAGTACTAACTAGGTGTTTGCCACGGACGTGCACCTGCCGTTACAATAGTCAGTACTAACTAGGTGTTTGCCACGAGACGTGCACCTGCCGTTACAATGGTCGGTACTAACTGGGTGTTTGCCACAGGACGTGCACCTGCCGTTAATAGTCAGTACTAACTAGGTGTTTTGCCACGAGACGTGTACCTGCCGTTACAATAGTCAGTTACTAACTAGGTGTTTGCCACGAGACGTGCACCTGCCGTTACATAGTCATTACTAACTGGGTGTTTGCCACCAGACGTGCACCTGCCGTTACAATAGTCAGTACTAACTAGGTGTTTGCCACGAGACGTGCACCTGCAGCCGTTACAATAGTCGGTACTAACTAGGTGTTTGCCACGGGACGTGCACCTGCCGTTACAATAGTCAGTACTAACTGGGTGTTTGCCACGAGGACGTGCACCTGCCGTTACAATAGTCAGTACTAACTAGGTGTTTGCCACGAGGACGTGCACCTGCCGTTAATAGTCAGTACTAACTGGGTGTTTGCCACGGGGACGTGTACCTGCCGTTACAATAGTCGGTACTAACTAGGTGTTTGCCACGGGGACGTGCACCTGCCGTTACAATAGTCGAGTACTAACTAGGTGTTTTGCCACGAGACGTGCACCTGCCGTTACAATAGTCAGTACTAACTGGGTGTTTGCCACGAGACGTGCACCTGCCGTTACAATAGTCAGTACTAACTGGGTGTTTGCCACGAGACGTGCACCTGCCGTTACAATAGTCGAGGTACTAACTGGGTGTTTGCCACAGGACGTGCACCTGCCGTTACAATGAGTCAGTACTAACTAGGTGTTTGCCACGAGGACGTGCACCTGCCGTTACAATAGTCAGTACTAACTAGGTGTTTGCCACGAGACGTGCACCTGCCGTTACAATAGTCGGTACTAACTAGGTGTTTGCCACGGACGTGCACCTGCCGTTACAATAGTCAGTACTAACTACGTGTTTGCCACGGACGTGCACCTACCGTTACAATAGTCAGTACTAACTAGGTGTTTGCCACGAGACGTGCACCTGCCGTTACAATAGTCAGTACTAACTGGGTGTTTGCCACGAGACGTGCACCTGCCGTTACAATAGTCAGTACTAACTAGGTGTTTGCCACGAGACGTGCACCTGCCGTTACAATAGTCAGTACTAACTAGGTGTTTGCCACGAGACGTGCACCTGCCGTTACAATAGTCAGTACTAACTAGGTGTTTGCCACGAGACGTGCACCTGCCGTTACAATAGTCAGTACTAACTAGGTGTTTGCCACGAGACGTGCACCTGCCGTTACAATAGTCAGTACTAACTAGGTGTTTGCCACGAGGACGTGCACCTGCCGTTACAATAGTCAAGTACTAACTGGGTGTTTGCCACGAGACGTGCACCTGCCGTTACAATAGTCAGTACTAACTAGGTGTTTGCCACGAGGACGTGCACCTGCCGTTACAATAGTCAGTACTAACTGGGTGTTTTGCCACGGGACGTGCACCTGCCGTTAATAGTCAGTACTAACTAGGTGTTTGCCACGAGACGTGCACCTGCCGTTACAATAGTCAAGTACTAACTGGGTGTTTGCCACGAGACGTGCACCTGCCGTTACAATAGTCAGTACTAACTAGGTGTTTGCCACGAGACGTGCACCTGCCGTTACAATAGTCAGTACTAACTAGGTGTTTGCCACGGACGTGCACCTGCCGTTACAATATAGTACTAACTGGGTGTTTGCCACGAGACGTGCACCTGCCGTTACAATAGTCAGTACTAACTAGGTGTGTTTGCCACGGGACGTGCACCTGCCGTTACAATAGTCAGTACTAACTAGGGTGTTTGCCACGAGGACGTGCACCTGCCGTTAATAGTCATTACTAACTAGGTGTTTGCCACGGGACGTGCACCTGCCGTTACAATAGTCAGTACTAACTAGGTGTTTGCCACGAGACGTGCACCTGCCGTTACAATAGTTCAGTACTAACTAGGTGTTTGCCACGAGACGTGCACCTGCCGTTACAATAGTCAGTACTAACTAGGTGTTTGCCACGAGACGTGCACCTGCCGTTACAATAGTTAGTACTAACTAGGTGTGTGCCACCAGACGTGCACCTGCCGTTACAATAGGCAGTACTAACTAGGTGTTTGCCACGAGACGTGTACCTGCCGTTACAATAGTCAGTATTAACTAGGTGTTTGCCACGAGACGTGCACCTGCCGTTAATAGTCAGTACTAACTAGGTGTTTGCCACGAGACGTGTACCTGCCGTTACAATAGTCAGTACTAACTAGGTGTTTGCCACGAGACGTGCACCTGCCGTTACAATAGTCAGTACTAACTAGGTGTTTGCCACGAGACGTGCACCTACCGTTAATAGTCAGTACTAACTAGGTGTTTGCCACGAGACGTGTACCTGCCGTTACAATAGGCAGTACTAACTAGGTGTTTGCCACGAGACGTGCACCTGCCGTTACAATAGTCAGTACTAACTAGGTATTTGCCACGAGACGTGCACCTGCCGTTACAATAGGCAGTACTCACTAGGTATTTGCCACGAGACGTGCACCTGCCGTTACAATAGTCAGTACTAACTAGGTGTTTGAAACGAGACGTGCACCTGCCGTTAATAGTCAGTACTAACTAGGTGTTTGCCACGAGACGTGTACCTGCCGTTACAATAGTCAGTACTAACTAGGTGTTTGCCACGAGACGTGCACCTGCCGTTACAATAGTCAGTACTAACTAGGTGTTTGCCACGAGACGTGCACCAGCCGTTACAATAGTCAGTACTAACTAGGTATTTGCCACGAGACGTGCACCTGCCGTTACAATAGTCAGTACTAACTAGGTGTTTGCCATGAGACGTGCACCTGCCGTTACAATTTTCAGTACTAACTAGGTGTTTGCCACGAGGACGTGCACCTGCCGTTACAATATTCAGTACTAACTAGGTGTTTGCCACGAGACGTGCACCTGCCGTTACAATAGTCAGTACTAACTAGGTGTTTGCCACGAGACGTGCACCTGCCGTTACAATAGTCAGTACTAACTAGGTGTTTGCCACGAGACGTGCACCTGCCGTTACAATAGTCAGTACTAACTAGGTATTTGCCACGAGACGTGCACCTGCCGTTACAATAGGCAGTACTCACTAGGTATTTGCCACGAGACGTGCACCTGCTGTTACAATAGTCAGTACTAACTAGGTGTTTGCCACGAGACGTGCACCTGCCGTTAATAGTCAGTACTAACTAGATGTTTGCCACGAGACGTGCACCAGCCGTTACAATAGACAGTACTAACTAGGTGTTTGCCACGAGACGTGCACCAGCCGTTACAATAGTCAGTACTAACTAGGTGTTTGCCGCGAGACGTGCACCTGCCGTTAATAGTCAGTACTAACTAGGTGTGTGCCACGAGACATGACCTGCCGTTACAATATTCAATACTAACTAGGTGTTTGCCACGAGACGTGCACCTGCCGTTACAATATTCAGTACTAACTAGGTGTGTGCCACGAGACGTGCACCTGCCGTTACAATAGGCAGTACTACAGTGGCATTGTGGTTATCAATGTGAAAAGTCAGTGAGAGTGATAAATATTCCAATTTGGAACGTTGAAAGCAATTTGGAGTCTCAGAGAAAATGTACCGGTGACTACACATTCCATTTCACGACAAAACGATCACAAAATCGATTAAATTTAATATATTACACCTTTTATTAATACGAATCATTAAAATATATAGCATGTTACAGCTTGCAGTTAGATAAGAGTAATATCACTAAACTGAAAACCGTTACATATTCAGATAAGAAAGATTATTTTACCATATCACATGACATATATATGACATTAAAATATAATGCAAAGAGTAGAACAGGCCCTGGAATGTTATCAAAATGCTTAACATGGACAAACTCAGAGTTTGAAATTTTAAATGAGTAATAATGTCAGAGGGCCTATTGCTATGTGTGAAATTTGAAAGTGCATTTTGCGCAGTTCTTAAATAAAAACAAGGAAACGGAACCACATGTTTTTCTTTGTTTTTATCTGCAATAAAAACCTGAATAGGAAAATGAATGAACGGTGGTAATGAACCAGTCATCAAATTTGAGATTTCAACCAACTCTCAACGCTAAGTGTCCTTTTATATGGACGAGACTATTTACCTTTAAAATTCAAAACCAAATTCACATGTAAAAGTAGAATAGGTTCTCAGTTTGTTTCAACTACTTCCAGTGTTACTGCCTGCTTGCGATACTTCATGCTTCCATTTATTTACATAATTACTATAAACGACCTCTGAACTATTGTGAAACAATTTAAGATGTGGCACAAGAAAACAAGCCAGTGTTTGAGCCCTAAAGTAAAGAAAGAGGTTATATAGTTGCCGCTTGCACCACAGGTATAAAGGACAGCGTATTTGAGCATGTACGTACTAGTTGTGTGGATGTGTGCGCTATATAAATATCCCATCATCATCATCATTTGTCCCTAGTTCAGTACCAACTGATGCATTGCAGTTAGAATTTGAAGAGAAAACTACTACTGAGCAGGGTCCGTGTTGCTTCATTTCCATCAGATGACAACTGAGACTACAACAGTAGCTATAGGCAGCAGAATTTAAGAACATTCGAAAAAACCATGAAAACAAGAAAATCTGCCAAGAATGTGGGTGTTATCAAGAGGTAATTTACCTTTCGAATTCAGGGACAAATCACACTAATGCATGACAGCTGAAGACATGTTTCGTCGACGAAATTTCATTATTTTAGAACAAGCAACAGAGAAGGCCACAACAACTGAACAGCGTTTTAAATATGGCTTGAAAAAACTCTTTAATCTGCTTTCTAATGTTGCGAAATTTGGTGATGATGAAGATGGCAAGGCAAGTGAAGTTGGGGCGTTCATTCATTTTGTGGATCTGAATTAGAGAATTAAAGAGATTGATGTTAGAGTATGAAATTGACTATGTCAAACTCGTTGATGCTGTATGCCGTGGAATCACTCTGTATACTGTTCGACGTGGTGGTGATCGGCTGAATATTCATTCCCGCTATATCACGGCTGAGGACACCAGAAACGCTAAGCCGCCAGTCTACCCTACCGTCCCTTGTCTGAACAGTTGGACACGTATGATAAATAGCTAAATGACTGCAGCTTATCAAACCTTGTTCATTCTCAATGACAAAAACGGGAGAAAAAGACGGGATTCTGGACGGAAATCTGTATGTTTCCTGACACACAAAAGTCAGCTTTTCATGTTCTTGGTAGGGATGCCATTAGGAGCATGTGTGATGCAGCTGGTGTGAAGCATCCCGAGTTGTCTACATCATCAAAACAAAGGCACAGAATAAGTTACAATATGTGCCTAACTGAGAAGTTCCTACCACTGAAACAGAATATTTCTACAAACATATGGGTCACAGCAAGGGTGTCAATGAAGGTTTATTCTAGGTTCCTGTGCCAATTCAAGAACTTACTAAAGTTGGGAAACACCTACTTCACCCTGAGGCGAGTATGAACAGCTGTTCTTGACGAGTACAGTTTGAAGAGTCATGCAGTGTCTGTTCTCTATGCGTAGTCAATGCATTATCTGTACAAAATCACTATTAACAATTACAAGTCTATATATCCCCCGCCGCAATGCTGTATTCAGCAGACCCTGAAGCATTCCTATATAACATAGAAAAAGTCTACGAAAATATCAGTGGTGGAACAAGGTCAAATTCGACCCTCAAGGTCATAGGGGTCATCTTCGCTTTCGAAATCTTAGACGGAAATGCAAGCTTTTTTGTAATCTACTCAATTGTGTCATGTTACATATCAAATTAAAGCTCAGATTACAGGCTTTTCTCATCATACTGTTCTATTTTTTTAAAAGAACATTCCGAAAAATATGAAAATCGTACCCGGACATCCACATGTATATGTATGCTACGATTATGCCAAACATTTCATTTTTTAATTGTGTGACAATTTTTAACATGAAGAAATATTGTGATGGATATGTAAAGATGCACATGTAAGAGACATAGATTGAGATGCACTCACTTGTGCAGTGTGTGCCGTGGTTGTGCATGTCTGAGTGCTCAAAGGCTTGACCTCAGTGATGAATGATGCAATCAGAGAACTGTTGTAAAATATTTTGGAAAAGGACATTGCAATTCTGTCAAACAAGATTAGCTAATGAATGTTAGTAATTCATAATGAAATACCATTTATGAAGTTGAGTAATACACAACTCTCTTACATAACTTTCAATCAACAAAATGATTTGTTTTTCATCATTGTACCTGATGAAAATGTGTTGATATAAAACATTGATCGTTCATTCTATTTCATTATTATTTTGAATGACTATTGGGTGATACATATCCATCACAATATTTCTTCATGTTAAAAATTGTCACACAATTGAAAAATGAAATGTTTGGCGTAATCGTAGCATACATATACATGTGGATGTCGGGATACGATTTTCATATGTTTCGGAATGTGTTTTTTTTAAAAAGAACACATATGATGAGACTCATCCCTATTAAACCATATATTTCTGAAAGGCCTGTATTCTGAGCTTTAATTTGATATATAACATGACACAATTGAGTAGATTACAAAAAAGTTTGCATTTTCATCTAAGATTTCGAAAGCGAAGATGACCCCTATGACCTTGAGAGTCGAATTTGACCTTGTTCCACCACTGATATTTTCGTAGACTTTTTATATGTTATATAGGAATGCTTCAGGGTCTTAAACAGTTGAAATCATTTCTGTTGCAATTTGTGGTTGGTAAGGTCAAAATCTAACCAGGATGACTGGACTAAATGTCTTCAAATTTGGTGACGGCCTACATTAGGGGATTACGCAGATACCAGTCGATTTTGGGTGACCTTGACCTTATTTCCAAGGTCACCACGACATTTGACCACTTTTCAAACTTTGTTAACGCGATATATCATGCACTGTTGTACCCAATGTCGTAATTAGGTACAGTCTACATTGGGGAATGACGCAGACATCAGTCAATTTGGGTGACCTTGACCTTATCTTCAATTTCACCATGACACCTTGACCACTTTTCAAACCTTTGTTAACGCGATATCTCGTAAACGTTATGTCGACAGCCTACATTGGATGATTACGCAGACACCAGTCATTTCCGGGAGACCATGACCATATTTTCACGGCCACATGACACCTTTCAAAATCTTGCTAATGCGACATCCCATGAACCGTTACACCCGATGTCAAGCCAGTTCTTTCAATGTCGCTTTGGGAAATATGCAGCCTTCATCTTATGGACAGAACAGTATCTTGATCATGCGCACAAATAGTCACATTGGAACAAACATGCATGCGCATAGTGACAGCAACAGTGACTAGAACACCAGCAGTAATAATTAACTCTTACAAGTGTGGACACGTGAAGATCCGGGGTACAATAGGTCTTCAGCAACCCATTCTTGTCATAAAAGGCGACTATGCTTGTCGTAAAAGGCGACTATAACGGGATCGGGTGGTCAGGCTCGCTGACTTGGTTGACACATGTCATCGGTTACCAATTGCGCAGATCGATGCTCATGCTGTTGATCACTGGATTGTCTGGTCCAGACTCGATTATTTACAGACCGCCATATAGCTGGAATATTGCTGAGTGCGGCGTAAAACTAAACTCACTCACTCACTCACTTACTAGTGTGACAATGGAGGGCAGATGATTACAGAAAATGTATCTTGTTCATCATACAACACTAGGGCTGGGACCGGAACCCGGATATCAGGGACGGGTGGCCATGGGTAATGAGTTGGACCCGGGTACCCGTCTCAATATCCGGACCCGTTATGATCATGTGACTAATAGATTAAACAATGTAATATGTTATTCTTTAATGATTAAAAGGTCTTTGAAGGTTTAGACATAATACAGTCACCTATTTTGAATATAATGCATGGTTAAGATGCGAATGTAGAACTCGAAATTTTAGCCTCCAAGCTGAAGAATATATTGCCATTTCTTACAAATTTAATGTAAGGAATTCACATAACGGCTATCAGGGTTGGGTAATAGGGGTGGGGTACCCGAGAAGAAAATTTGGACCAGTCCCAGTTCTAATTATTGTTATAAGATATATGTGCCGTTGAGATTGACATCCAATGATCGAGGGAAAAACCAGCGCCTTGAACATGTACTAGTCACGTTGATGATATATATATATATATATATATATATATATATATATATATATATATATATATATATGATATATATATACGCACAAAATGTCCAAAATAGTACAGGTGTTCAGTCATAAATATTACATAGATAAATAAAAACAGAATGCCTTTTTCTCAAACATGTTTCGTTCTTTACTCTTCAGGAAGATTGTAGCGGTTACAGTATGACGTCATTACATATATATTGTTTTTATTTATCTATGTAATATCTATATATATATATATATATATAATCACGTGACTAGTACATGTTCAAGGCGCTGGTTTTTCCCTCGATCATTGGATGTCAATCTCAACGGCACATTGTATTAACAATCTCAACTCCCTGAAATCATACAAACTATTGCAGCCACAAGGCGCACCAAGTGAATCTGGCCTCTCCATCCTTACGAGGTACCCATTCGCAGCTGGGTGGACTGGGACACATAGTCACAGTACTTTGTCCAAGTTTAACGTACTGTGCTGTTCCCGCAACTTGGTGTTTGCACGTGTTCAAGTGGCCACCATCTGGTCATTTACCAATGGATTTGTGGGTTCTTTTAAGTGCACAGGGTTGTGTACTGCACACTAGGGGTTGTGACAACAGTGAAAGAGTCTGCACACAAAGTTGACTCAAAGGTTTTTGCACACGGTCACAAGAGGGCTCGATCCTGGCACCTCAAGTTCGCTGGATCACAAGCCTTAGACAGTTTTAGGCTACATTTCAGAATTATCATTGGTGCAGAATTATCATTTGATGAAAAACTCATATCAGTGATCATTAATATGGTATTTTTGAAATTCAGTACTCTAAGTAAATATCAGAGTTTTACATTTCAAAACATACACCAAATAACGCTGTGAATCGTGATTTCGTAATGTGTCAAAAATGGCAACATTTACGATGTAGCCAATTTTGAAAGGTCATTGTCAGCACAGTAGCTTTGATAATTGTGGATGGTATCAAGAAACAGGAAATTCCCCGCAGTATTCGAAACTGGGAAGTGTATTTGTACGTAATGTATTTTGAATTTTGATAGACTTTAACGTGAGGGTTGAAGAGGAACGACATACAGACTATAAGTCAGTCGCCATCTTCACTGGCTATTTTAGCATAAAATAACCAAACAAAGCAACGTCAAATCACATTGCATGTGCACGGGATTGAGCACCAAACCAAATCTTTGATGCTGATCATGTTTTTTATAAATTGTTAAATACAATACTTAAAACCAAGCAATGAATATTTTCGGCATGTATCCTTCATTTGACCGCGTAAATATAGCCCAACCTATATTTCACAGACAAAGTTGTGTTGATCCTGACACGGCCAATCATTCCATCTGTAGCCCATAGTTTTGTCTATGCCCATACAATTCTCTTGGCCACCATAGTTGGATGGCTGACCAGGGTTCCAGTTCTGGTAGACCATCGGAGTTACTTGACCCTGCCACGTAAACCGGCCCTCCAACCGCAGGTCGCTACCACCCAGGAGGTAATAAGGTGCTGCAAATAAATGCCAAATTTACATTGTTAATGAGGGCTCACAGTGATACGTTTACCAGCCCAAACTTGTCGTGTGTGCGTGACTGAGTGATTTGAACAGCTTTTCAGTTATACCTCATGTCAGCTTGTTGGCGGAGTGAGGTGAGTTAAGATTTTTAGCCACATTGGCAGTATTTTAGTGACTCAAACAAGTAATACTATGAACACCACAATAAACAGATCGTCTGAACTACTGAGGTAGATCAGCAAGGACCATAGGGATTTACACAATCACTTCAACCGTTGGCGATTGTGCTATTTATCACAGAAATCGGGATTAGAATCCATGATGATGTGTTTCTGGCACTAGTTATTGCAAACAGTTGCTACTTACACTTCGCATGGCGCATGATGTGCCCTCTGACGAATTCATCTTCATCTCGATTATTTATCTCTGCCAGGTGACTCTTCAGGTAACGACAAACAGCCTGCAGCAAATATATCATTAGTTTCTCCAATGATATCGTACGAGTCATGGTTTCAAACCATGCGTATGCTATTCGTGAAAACTGGCTCGAACGAGAGTACACAGGTGAGCTAACTCCAACATCTCGTGTGTTAAGGTGGGATTATCCCCGACAGCATGGCAGTTACGTGCAGTTGGCATGTGTGTCGCCATATGCTTTCTGTGGAGAGATTTCGAACCCTCGGATACAATAACAGAAATGCTTCACATTTGAGATCTGACCTCCTCACTTCCCACAGTGTAAACATTTTAACACAGTCTAAAGACACTGTATGGGAATGGTTTACGTGCGAGACGACCCTGTGTTAATATCACTTGAACCCCTGCTCACCGTGGTGCACGCCGACAGTTGAATTCTGCTGTGAATTAGACTGCACTATGATTTCTGGGTGATGGACCAGGCGCTGGGGAGGTAAACCCCCTTGATCTCTGTTGATCTCAGGCACTGGTCCATCACCCAGAAATCATAGACACTCAAACCGAATCTGCTTTAACCACTCTGCTATGTAAACACACCCTTGCCCTTATTGTAAAACATATCCTTTCATTGTATTCTGCTCTTTGATCTCACTGCATTGTTTGTACATACTTAATTATACCTCCTACACAATACACAATAATACGAGGCCTCATACAGCAAGGGGGCGGTGGGGTAGCCTAGTGGTTAAAGCGTTCGCTTGTCACGCTAAAGACCTGGGTTCGATTCCCCACATGGGTACAATGTGTGAAGCCCATTTCTTGTGTCTCCCGCCGTGACATTGCTGGAATATTGCTAAAAAAGAGCCGTAAAACTAAACTCACTCACTCACTCACTCATACAGCAAGACTGACAAACGACTTTCTGCATAGCGCTGACATCGTTGTTTTGCCGTGGCCAGCCTTATATCCCGACATGAACCTGATAGAACACTTATGGGACTACCTGGATTGTCAAATCAGAAGACTACCAGCGCCACCGCTCAACAACTGAAACAATGTTATCTACTGGAATCACGGATCACGCCTAACTACTTTATCGTCTTACGTCATCAATGTGTCAACGTGTGTTGGCGTGTATTGAAGCCAGGGGTGGTCACACTCACTATTGATTCAACATTTGATGACATATTGCAGACAAAACCGCCCTATGATACCACGTGTCTTTCGGTGTCAGTTAAATGGTACTTTCGACTTTGTATGAAATGAAATTGTGTACATTTGCTGTAGATTTGAATATTCGATTGAAACGTAACAGATGCCCTTTTATATACGCTTTTGTTTTTCTTTTCAAGGTTGGTCAAACAAACTGTATACTTTGTTTTGAGCACTAGTTTACATAACTAATCTTTAAGTATATAAGTCTGTGTAAAACCGGGGCAGTGGGGTAGTCTAGTGGTTAAGCGTCCGCTCTTTACGCCGAAGATCCAGGTTCGATTCCCCATATGGGTACAATGTGTGAAGGCCATTTCTGGTGTCACCCACCGTGATGTTGCTGAAATATTGCTAAAAGCGGCGTAAAACTAAACTCACTCACTAACACTTTGTAAAACCATGGGTCACACGGTAAACTACCGATCAGTCTGGAATTTGGATACCGGTAACATCATTGGCAACATCCGATGTGGTATCCGATAAAAACAAACAGAATAACCATTGACCACTTCGTGACCATGTTTCGACTACAACGTGGAAACGTGGCATATTCAGATATTTGCGTGAAGGGCAGTTTATCTCAGTTTATAAACAATTGACAGTTTTAAGTACGACAGGGCTTCACCCTGTCTGATTATTTCAATCAAGATCAGGGTGTCCCTCAAATTTCAGGCAGCATCCCATCTGTCACATCTTTTTAAAGTAATATTTATATTATTTTGCTTATCATTGACATTTAATGTCAGTTTGCAAGACCTAGTATATCTGGAAACTTTCAATCGCATTCCAAGAAATCCTGAAGAAAAGTCATTCATGTATTTACCAATCACGTATTTTATAAACATGCTTACATTTGCCTCTCCAAAGGATCCTTTCATACTTGAGAACCAGTAACAGGAATGCTTGTGGCGTATAAAGCCCAAAGGACACCTTAATGCTGTAAGATAAATAGTGTAAGTCAAACAAAGATCAGAGGAACAACACATTGCCTACTTAATGTTTTAGAAGCCACAACACTCTTTCCACATTCCTAAGAAATCTACTGTATCTGGGGCGGTGGGGTAGCCTAATGGTTAAAGCGTTCGCTCGTCACACCAAAGACCCCGCTTCGATTCCCCACATGGGTACAATGTGTGAAGCTCATATCTGGTGTCCTCCGCCGTGATATTGCTGGAATATTGCTAAAGGCGGCGTAAAACTAACTAACTCACTCACTCACTCACTCTATTATATCTTGAGTATGTATTTGTTCTGGCAGGATTATAGCTGTACGATGTTGTTTCTAAAAGTTGCGTCTGGACCAGACAATCCAGTGATTGATGGTAGGGCATGTGCACCAATTGTGCTCCCCTCCTTGCGGATCTGTTTCTGTATGTATATGAATCAGAATTTCTGTTTGGGTTGGCAAAATCAAGGTTAGTTGGCCAAGAGGTTTCCGGTACATCGATGTTCGGTGTTTCATTTAATGTGCATACCGCCTTGTAATACAAACCAATTTCACAGAGCGTCATGCGACTCTTGTTTGATCAAGGTTACAACATTCAGGGCCTCAGTAAAGCTTTCAATAAGTTTTATAGTTGATATGTGGAGGAAATTTCAAAATGCATCAGTGACAAAATGTTGTCCGATGCAATTCCCTATTTTGACTGGTGATGATACCAGGCAGGCTATTCTCGAAATGTTCGTAGCCCTACGAATGTCTGGAGCGGACATACCCTTCCCACCTACCGAGGAATCAAATTATTAACACATTGGCTAAGATCAAAGTTAAGAATTCTTAGGGCTACGAACGTTTCGAGAAAAATGGCCCTGGTGCTCGCGATAAGGCAAACGCATTTTCCCCACCGATGGACCAATCATAAACATATGCAAAGTCTAGTCAGTTGTTCCCCTGAACATTTTCGGGAAAGTCAAATTAACAGAACTGGAGCGGACATAATTCTTCTCACCGAGGAATCAAATATGGAAATGTCCTCCACACGTCTACCATAAAACGTTTTGAAAGCTCTACCGAGGGCTTGAATGTTGTTACCATGATCGAACTTCTGAGCTTAGTGATTGAACCAGTGTTCCTTGGGTTCCAATCGCAAATAAACAGCAATTAGGATGCCTGTTCTATCTACAATATACGAGTGGCCGTATACGCAAGGATACATACATGTTTGGTATGTCAAATATTGTTAATAAAGTTCATAATGAAAGGTTTATCCTAACCTCAATTCGTTATTACGATTTCTAAAACGTTTTGTTATATTTTATTTACCTTCATTTGGGAATATCCACACTATGACCAGCAGCAGAAGAGCGTTCCACACCTTCATGTTGTAACAGATAACTGTATGATATTGTGAGCTCTAATGAAAAGTATGTGTGAATACGGATTTGACACCTTGCCAGTAGGCATCATGTCCGGGACAAGGGTAACACTTCTGCGACATGTGTTCAGTCATTGCAACAATATATGTATATATTACGACTCTTGTGTTATTTCTATTGACAGATTGACACTTTTTGTTATACGTTTATAGGGGCGGTGGGGTAGCCTAGTGGTTAAAGCGTTGGCTCGTCACGCCGAAGACCCGGGTTCGAATCCCCACATGGGTACAATGTGTGAAGCCCATTTCTGGTGTCCCCCACCGTGATGTTGCTGGAATATTGCTAAAAGCGGCGTAAAACCAAACTCAGTCAGTCAGTCAGTCAGTTATACGTTTATACGTCATGCAAATTGAAACCAACATTTGTAGTCAGTCAACTAATCCTTGTGATCATAATAATGATAATGACAACACAGACGACGTCGTATTGGCTAATAGCGAGATGATTACATAATTCTGTGATTTGAAGTAAAAGTGGATGTTAACAAGAAATATTCTTTATGACCTGAAGACAGTGTTTTATTCCTTTACTAAATCGAAAACGATTAACACTGCATGTTGCTTATTATGACAGCATTTTAACAAATGTCTCAAGGATCGGTTCTTGGACCTCTGCTTTTCACCATTACACATCTCCTCTAGGTGATATCGTCAGATCTTTCAACTTGCGACTGCATTTATATGCTGACGACACTCAGATTTGCAAACCCTTACTTTCTTCATTAGCCGAGTCTTCATTTCTCACCATTGAAGAGTGTGTCAGCTGCATCAAAAACTGAATGTCGTCACACTACCTGAAACTGAGACCGCCTCCGTGGTGTAGTGGTTAGAGCGTCCGCCCGGAGAGAGGAAGGTTGCGGGTTCGATCCCCGACCGCGTCATCCCCCAAAACGTTAAAATATGGTACTTGTTGGTCCCTGCCTGGCGCTCGGCATTAATGGGTACAACAAGGACTGGTCGGCTCGGAGTCAGTATAATGTGTCTGAGTGGGGTATTCATGCTTCACTGCGGCATGGTATCTCAGTGGGCTAGCACTATAAAACCAGCTAAAGTCTGGGCTAGTACAAGCAGCCGCACATACACATACACACGCATGCACGTCGTCATATGAGCGAAATATTCTCAAGCACGACGTTAAACCCAATTTCACCTCACCTGAAACTGAATGATGATAAAACACAACGTATAGTTTTCCACCCTAAGCGTCTCCAAACCATTTCTCACTGAAATTTCATCTTTATGCTGATGACAATCAGTTATATCTGTCAGCGGAGCCTAACCTTGCTCAAGGTTGTGCACTGAAGATTCAACAATGTATTGCTGAAATAAGAGACTGGATGACCTTGAACTTTCTGAAATTGAATGACACAAAGACTGAGTTCTTAACCATCGGATCCAGGCATCAACTTTCCAAAGTGCCTGACAGTTTATCTCTTGAAATTTGACAAGATGTTATCATGCAGTCCGACTCTGCAAAAAATCTTGGTGTCATCTTTCAATCAACAATGTCATTAGAAAAGCAAATCAAATCACTCAGCAAAGGATGCTTCTACCATATCTTCAATATTAACAAGATCCGAACCCTCTTAGACTTCAACACCGCCCAGCTTCTAACGACCAGCCTTGTTCTCTCTAAACTTGATTACTGCAACTCCCTCTATTACAACATTCCTCAACAGCTCCTTTCACAACTCCAACGGATTCAGAATTCAGCCGCCCGTGTTGTTGCCCGTGCACCACGCTACGAAACTGTGACACCTATCCTCCAAACTCTTCACTGGCTTCCTGTATCAAGCAGAATTCAATACAAACTTCTTCTTCTTACACACAGCTGCATCTATGAAAACATGTTTTCTCAATATCTTAAAAGCCTCATTCATCTCCATGTTCCAAGCCGATTGCTCCGCTCGTCAAACTCCCTACTGCTTACACAGCATCACGTCAAAACAGCCATGGGATCAAGAGCGTTCTCTGCTGCAGCCCCCTATCTCTGGAACATTCTGCCACTCACCCTAAAAGAAATAGAATCTGCTGATGCTTTCAAAACTGCCCTCAAAACTCATCTGTTCAAACTCTCTTTTCCATAGACATTGTCTACAATCTTTTCTCTTCATAGCGCCATTGAGCAATATCTTTTGGAAATAGGTGCTCTATAAATCAATTATTATTAGTAGTAGTAGTATCTCTCTGCCTAAATTCAGCATCGGTCAGTGTGAGATTCAGCCAAAGCCTGAGGTGCGTAACTTGGGAGTCATTTTTGATTCCTCACTGTCCATGGAGCCACACATCAATAACATCTGTAGAAAGGCATACTACCACATTCGCAACATTGGCATGATGCGACGACACCTGGACGTCCAGACTGCAATATCTCAATTCAGGCATATGTAACATCTCGTCTCGACTGCTGTAATGCGCTCCTTGTGGGTCTCCCAAATACACAAGCTTCAGAAGGTGCAGACTGCAGCCAGTATGATCTCTCAGTCAAAGAAATGGGATCACTTTACTCCGTTCTTCACTCACTTTATTGGCTTCCCGTCCACTACTGGAAAAATATACTCTTCAAAAAAAGAAACTTGACATAGGTCAAATTTGAATTTTAGGAAAACATTTGACACAAACCAATCCATGCTGAATCCCAGCATTTGGGGGAATGGTTGCCGACGACAAAACGTTTGAAAAAAGAAACGTTTAACAAAACCGTAACGTTACACTCACGTCTGTAGTGAATCGCTAAAACGCACCCTAAATTAAATGCACAAGCATCACGTGTATCACCCTGAGCTGAAGCCTATGAATGTAGGCTATAAAAAGTCACACCAACGGTACTCCACATGCATTGCTTTAAGCCACTATAGATGACAAGAGAATGAAAAGACCGACAGAAGCTCAACGACACAATGTCATCATTTACAAGGACGAACATGGCAGCATGATGGGGCAAGGCACTTCAGCGTGTCCAGACAGACCATCTCAAACCTATCGACCCGATACAAAAATACTGTGAGTGTTAATGACAGATCCAGGTCAGGTCAACCTGAAGTTACCACCCCGCCCAGGATCGCTACATCCGGTTGAGGCATTTTCGTTCAAACACCACGGCCGCATCATCCACAACATTCTAAATCCCTGGTCTGCGCCGAATCTCCGTCCAGACAGTGCGCAATTGGCCATGGGAAGCCAGACTTTTTGCAAGAACATCAGTTCAACACCACGTCGTTCCCTACATCAACGTGATCTTTGGAGCATGACAATACTCGAGTGTACGACGGGTCTTCCTCCAAGCAAAGGAATGTTCAGTTGTTACCTTGGCCTTCTCGATCACCGGATTTGTCCCCCATTGAACATCTATGGGATACTCTTGATCGACGCTTGCGCCAACGTAATCCGCCACCTAAGACACTACAAGAACTGCACGCAGCACTTCAGCAAGTGTATCAAAACATTCCTCAAGACAGCATTCGGCATCTCCTTTCTTCTATGAGTCACCGCTGCCAAGCTGTTATCGATGCTCATGGTGGTCACACCAGATACTGACATTTTACTCTGACCAATTGGCTTTAATAGCCCTCTGGGGTTTTACCAACCACTTTCTGGATAATCGTGTTTTGGAAATTTGTAAAGTGATGATTTTACTGTAACTGAGCAATGATGTCATGTTTGAATCAGTTATATGCACTCAGTTAGTAAACTCCAAAACAACATGTCAAGTTTCTTTCTTGTTTTTGAAGTGTATATAAAACTCTACTCCTTGTTTTCAAAAGTATCCACGGTCTAGCTCCTCAGTACCCCCGTGATCTGTTCCACCGATATACTCCTGCAAGTTCCCTCCGATCAAATGACCAGTGTCACATATGGTGACAGGTCACTCGAGGTGGCTGTACAGCGCCATTGAGCGGTTTACAGATATTGGCGCTATGTATGTATGTGTGTGTGTGTGTCTCTCTCTGTGTCTCTCTCTCTCTCTCTCTCTCTCTCTCTCTCTCTCTCTCTCTCTCTCTCTCTCTCTCTCTCTCTCTCTCTCTCTCTCTCTGCTCTGTGTGTGTGTGTGTGTGTGTGTGTGTGTGTGAATACACAGAATATTGGTGGTTACATTATACTGAAAGGCAAAGGAAACGTCGTAATATTGGAAATGACATTGAAGTATCAATGGAGTATTTGAACTTCTTCTTTTTTAAATATATACCGGAAGTCAAGTTTGAAGTAAACATGAATCGTGGTCGGATAGCCTGTTTTGCCAAATAAAGTATTGTTTGAGATTGAGGTTAGAAATGTGTTTCTTTGTGGAAAGGGAAGGGTTCGCAAAAACACAACATTGAAATCGAGATGCACGTGCATCATGCATGCATTCAGGCATAAATTGCCGGCTTGAATGGCAGATTCACTCCCAAAAGACAGACCTCACATAAGACAGACTCAATGAGTACACTAATTAGCTGAGCCATGATATCCACCCCTATGTAATTAATGAGCTCACCCAGAGTCACTAACAACACATTCCTATTTCTCCTAGTTTACAAATGAATACATTGTGAATATTATAGTCTTTAATACCACAAACTAAAGCTATAATTACCATTTATCTTATCATAACATATATCATTGCAAAGACTCTGTGACAAATCACAAAGACTGTGTCACAAATCATAAAGTTTCTGTCGCAAAAATCACAAAGATTACACTCTCACTGTAACCAAGTTCCCCACCAGTGCCACTGATGATGTTGAAGTGACTTTCTAATAAGTGTTAACTGTGAACTGACAAACATATGATGTAAAATAATATGGTGCCTGGTCTCATATGCTTGATAGGTACATGTATATAAATTATTGTTTTTGATAATATTCACAAGTAATTAAATGTGTAAATGCAATATATCTCAATTTTAAAAAATCATATTTCATTACATCAATTGATAAAACTATAGTTAATACCTAATGTTGTCTTTTTTTATCCAGGCACATACCATTATTATCAAGGGTACAGCTTAATTAAGCCTTATTCAACCAACCATAAAAT